ACGGGGTTTAAGGGCATCCCAATGATTTCATTAGCGTAGAATCCCATTGTAGCCATAATTAGGATATCTGCCCATCTCTCGTTGAAAATAGCTATTGCTTTGCCCTCAGCTGTTGTTTTTCGTGGGATGTTGCGGTAAACAAGAAAATATGATTATTCTTTGAAAAGATTGTTTTGTGTCTGTGAAGTAGTGGGAGGCAACTGGGATAAGCATATCGGATTTAGTTAAGCTGCTTTTTACCGCAATCCGATGATGAAATCTAAATCTTTGCACTGGCGCTGGTTTTGATTTTGTGCTCATCACATGTAGGAAATGAAATTATCGGGCCACCTGAGTTGACTGCTAGTGCTAGCTATCTTTTATTATTAAGATCGTGTATTTTCTTAAAAGATCATATATTTTCAAAAAAAAAAAAAAGATCGATGGCGTGACAACGAACGTCGATGACATACAGCTGCTCAAGTATTCAAGTATTTTCTTCTTTTGTAGGGCATATATTTTTTTTTCCTGGAGATGCTTTAGGTAATTATTGCATCTTCTGATTACTGGGTTTCTGGTTATCACTGGCTGGCAATTCTTGATTTTTGCTTCGTTGTAATTTTACCGCATCTAGGTAAACTCATAGTCAGCAGGCATAGCGTAGTAGAGTAAAACTTAGCCGAATAGTATGTTAAAAGTTTAGGCTGATGATTCCCACCTCTAATCACACCTTCACTTGTTTGTGTTTACAGCTAAGGGATGAAACAGAGACAAATACCCCTACATATTCTCAGGACATGGGCAATCAACATGTCACACTGTTTATAACACCTGTTCCTCATACCATCTTCCAATTTCCCCCCTGCATTAGCTTATTTCACATGAAATATTAAACTTGAATCTTCACATTCCTTTCTATCTACTTAGCAGATGAGAAAACCAGTCCCTTTGCAGTTCGTTCATTCGTTTCGATGGTAAATTGGTACTGAATGTTGTAGAAATTCTAAAGATGCAGACAGTGAATATCCCTGGTTAGGAGACTGGGAGAAGACGAGGGGCTTGAAATATTTTGTATATTAACATTTGCAGTTCGTTTAGCATCACTGGCCCTCCGTGTAGAGAAACATAATCGAATTTTAATAATTAATGAAAACAAATAAGCAAACTTGTAGATCTCCCAAATAAGCAAACTTGTATGTGCAGTGAATTGATAACGTGTCTTGTTCCATCCCTGAGGTATAAACATAGATGGCAGAATCGGTGTGAAATGGGGTGGAAATCATCAGTACATTACTATTTGTCAGGAAGTCAAACTCACCATCAATTTGCTTATAAGCAACCCTCGAAAGAGGAAGCCATCGACAGCCTTGCCAGTGGGTGAGTACTGTTGGCATTTGCCAGCTACCATTCGGGCTACTTTCCGAGTGACTCAGTGTCTCACTGAATTCGAATATGGGGAAGGAGTTTTCGACTTTTTGAGGTAAACCCATATAGGCGTTAAAGTAAATCCATTCCACTATAGTATTAATATTTATTGAATTTCACGTAAGAAACAAGTGTTTGCTGGTTTTGTCCATCAGTCATTTCCCTGTAGTCTGGTCACTTCGAAAGATCGAAAACCGCAGTTTTAACGCAGTTTTAACTAATTTTCACATTCTCTTCACTATTCGTGATATTGATAGATTTATGATGTTTGTTTTTGATTTATGATATTTTTATAGTGCAATTTATGGAATTTATCAGAAAATTTTTCAGAAAATTCAATTCAGTGAAAGCTCGTTTCCCGAAAGCTGGTGTTTGGAAATGTGATTTTACATCAGTGCTTGATGGAGGTATGCAATAAAAAAGTTTTTGTTTTTTTTTTTTTTTTTTATGCATTTTGCGCTGTGTAACAGCTGTACAAAACACATATTGTCACGGAGTTGTCTGTGTGTCCGTGTATCCGATACATCTTGTCCGCAACTTTCAACTTGGGAATCAGGAAAGCTAGGAGGCTGAAATTTTGTGGGCACGTCCCCTGCCTACCTGTGACCGGGTAATACACGTACGGTCCCATAAAAAATTTTGACGGTGAAAATTATTATCTCGGGAATCACAGCAGCTAGGAAGCCGAAATTTTGGAGGGTTCCTCAACACATATTGTCACGGAGTTGTCTGTGTGTATGTGTGTGTGTGTGTGTGCATGTGCATGTGCATGTGTGTGTGTGTGTGTGTGTGTGTGTGTGTGTGTATGTATGTATGTATCCGATACATCTTGTCCGCAAATTTCAACTTGGGAATCGGGGAAGCTAGGAGGCTGAAATTTTGTGGGCATGTCCCCTGCCTACATGTGACTCCGCAAATTTAAATTTTGCTTTCACATGCCTGCAGATAACACACGTACGGTCCCATTAAAAGTTTTGACGGGGAAAATTATTATCTCGAGAATCACGGAAGCTAGAAAGCCGAAATTTTGGAGGGTTATTCCCTGCCCACGTGCGACCCCTCAAATTTAAATTCAACCTTCTCATGGCTACGAGTGTCATGTACGGCCCCGTAAAGTTTTTGGTGGGGAAATTAACTGATATTTCCTACTCCTTGTGCTGAGTACTTGTGATTTTCGAGTTTCAGCATTGCAAAGACTGCCTTTCCCCCAACAATCTGTTTTACTCCGATCGTTTTAGTTTTTGCACTGTTTTTTACAGAGTTCAGTGATGGAATGTTGCCCGGATGGTGATGACGACGACGATGAGCCAACTTTGTCTGCTGAAGCCATTGCTGCGCTGGCGGAATTTTATGCCGAGAAAAATGCACTCACTAAAACAACAGTTGATGAGGATTGGCAGGTATTGGTTTTCGAAAATTTCTGTTTTTTATTCATATCTGCAAAAAATTCAACAGTAATTCGATGGAAATTTTAGCAATAATAAAAGTGGAATATCAAAAATTAAAAATTTCCGGAATTTTAAAATATTGTGCGAAGAAGAAAAAGTTGTTGTTGTTGTTGTCCTTATTGTCGTTGTTGTTGTTATTTCCTTAACTAATACATCAGCATTAGGCCTCAGCAATACAGCAGACACTTTTGAAAATGCGAAGTAGCCTTTTACTTTTTATGCGTTTTTTGCTGTGCAACAGCAGTACAAAACGCATATTGTCACGGGGTTGTCTCTCTGTGTGTGTGTGTATGTCCGCAGCAACTTGTCCGCAACTTTCAACTCGGGAACCACAAAAGCTGGGAAGCAAAAAATTTAGGAGAACGTCCCCTACCCACGTGTGACCCCACAAATTTAAATTCAGCTTCCCTTTAGCCACGGGTAGCACGTATGGCCCCGTGAAAGTTTTTTACGGGTAAATTAATATCTCGAGAACCACGGAGTTTAGGAGGCTGAAATTTTAGG